TATATATAACCCTACATCTGACTCTTTTAGTTTTAGGACTTACAAACAACCGTTATGTGAACAAAACTATAATRCTCTCCTTTGCAACTTTGTTCCGAGAGTACAAAAAGTAAAGATCTCCTCTTTTGAGCTTTGACCGCAGCACACCACACATTAAAAAAATTGAGCTTTATGRCGCTCATAAATTGTGGACCCTGTAGCAATACGAATATTTTTCTTTGTAGAAAATTCTAATTACTATGAACATTAGAAATTTTCAGTTTCAGATTTTCATATTCTTATGTATTTTTTAGGGAGGTAGGTATATTTATCGGGGAATTATGTGTTCATGTGTCATTTAATTACAAACCTATTCGTTTACCATAGCCCAGTGACCAAGAAATACATATTCCTTTCTCATTATTGTTTATATTATTTATATGAAAATTTCCGCTAGTACCACCGCCTGTGTTTGCCACAACAAACGTTGGAAATTATTAAACGTCAGCGAAGGCTTGTTAATATGCTTGTAGCATTGCTTTTCCTGAAGCTTTATTTGGACTGTAAATTTTCGCTACACTAAAGCGAATCGGTCGGTATTTTGTTGCTCCTTGAGTCGTTGCTACTATTTTTAGACGTTCTTTTAACTGGCGCGTGTATTTGTAGCAACGGTGGACACAATGCCGACCATCGTCATTTCCTTTCATAGGCTAGCCATGGGGCGAACGATCACAAACACAGCGATTCAGCCACCGTCAGAGACCTCTCATTGGGAACACTCACGCCTACAAGCAGTAAAATATGGCAACACAATGCATTTGAACACAACTAGCGCTAAACAAAAGCGAAATCCACACGGCAACTGACCTTGAATTACGTAAATTGATCAATTGATTTCCCTTGCTTTTTGTTGTTGTTTAATAATATTCTTAAATAAATGCCATTGAAAGGTGGAAATTCGCAATATTTACGGCATGGATTTGCCGGTTCAACAGAATCAGAAACTAATTGTACCCCAAAGTAGAAACAAGAACAGGACAGACCCACGCCACGCTGAGTACTTGAGTAATATGGAAGTACATACATAAATATAGTATATGCGTTTGTAATGTGTACATCTTGAATACCTATATGTTATACATATTTAAACTTGAAGAAACGGGCGAGTAGATTTAAACAACAAACAATGGAGTGCATAAGTTTCGTTTATATTAACTTTTACTAGAAGGACGGCTGTACTCYACCAATTATTCAGTTATAATAATGATTCTTATTGTTTCCATGTTAACGTTTTTGGAAAATATCATCACAAATGGAATGACGTTGTTATTTGACTCACATACGTATTTGTTTATATAACTTGAGAACGTAAAAACAAATGAGCCAACTTCGCAATTATCCCACCATCAGCGAATAGAGGGTTTGTCCGGAAAGTAATAGGAATGAATCGATTTAAAAAAACTTATTGAACCAATCGTTACAATTCTTTAAAAACTTCTACGTCGAGGCAGTGCGGACAACGCGAACAGCCTTGAGAGCCGAGGTGCATGTTGCTTGGATCCCCTCTGTCGTCTCAAAATGCTTGTCTTTCATTGGCCTTTCAGGCAAGGAGACAAAAAAAGTTTGGCGGCCACATCTGGGCTGTACTACTACTCGTCGGCTGCGGCAGCATTGGAATGYCGGCTTGGTTAGGCAGCTTTTCACAAGCAAGGCGGTAAGAACCGTSGCTGCGATGTCTTGTAGGACCCGATTGACCTTTCGTTTAAGTTTCTTGAGGACTTCCACGTAAAATTTGTCGTTGACGGTTTGTCCAGGAGGAACAAAAAAGACAATGACCATCGTTTTCACTTTGGACACTTGGACAAGTTCAAATTTTCTTGGCACACTTCCACTCGCCGCAATATCTCGTCGACTCCTTTGTTAAATTTTATCCCGRCTCTTATAAAGCCCTATAATACGATTTCGGTATTTTTTTAGTTATTGATTTATCGAGCTTTAAGTAGTTTTTAACAGTACYGTAAGTGSCGTTATCCGATCATAATTCATTCATTTTCACACTGCCGGTAGGGGTTCTTATAGGATTTACCTTGAACGAATTTGGTTATTTTATCATGTGCCCGTTGCTACTGCGCTCTTCTGTGCCAAATTACTATTCTACATATTAATTTAGTTCTTAGGTATGACACTTTATAAGTTTCGTGTTTAATGGCGTTTTGTGGCGCGGCCGTCGTTCGATTGCGGTCATCTACGAACTCCTCTTTCCTTTTTTGCCAAAGGACATATATACAATGTTTCGTTATGATATCTCAAATTTTATTCAAGTTACAGCTTGCACTGGATTGAACTCTTCCCGTCATYCTCATCATTTATACATATATAACCCTATAGCTATCCGGATTAGTTTTATGCGATACGAACAACCGTTAGGTGAACAAAACTATRTTACTCTGTAGCAACTGGTTGCAAGAGTATAAAAAAAGATTACCACAGCCCTTTTTATCGAAGTATACAAGTATGTCATTAAAAACTATAAAAAATCTAGTTATAGAAATTTGATTATAGCTGCTTGTTCTGCAATTGTGAATATAGAGCTAGACTCAGAACAAAGGGCCGGCAGTTGCTGTGCAACGATTCACAAAGATTGATTGCCGTTTTCGTCAACAGATATGTTCATTTTAATAAACAAACARAAGAGGTAAATCCCAAAGCTACACTGTTGACACCAAGCGACATGATTGTCATGAATGCAACYAGGTGTGACGGTTTTGTATTTTCCATTCTATTTAGCAACATGCCAATTTTACAAACAAAATATAGATAAAGCATTATAACCTTCCATTCTGCAGACATACACACATGCAAACGTGAATTTWGTTATAGTTGTAATTATTTATTGTTTGTTTGACAACGTGACAATTTTGATCTAAAAGCCGCCACATGTGAATATACTTGTATTGTACGTGGATGTAAGCACCGGAAGTTGGGCTAAATGAAAAGTGCAAAAGGTTGAAATGCATTATAATCAAGACTTTTAAACAGGAGATTTGAATTACGATGTA